ATATATAGAGCGTTAACAAAAAATATTACGTTGCAAGAGAGAGAGAGAGAGAACGCGGGTCTTTGCGTACACACGCATGTCGCGGGCGAAACTTTTCCTTTCGAGATGGAATTTGGAGCACGTGACCTTGGTAATTACTTGCTCCGAAATTGTAATATTAAACGCCGATACGCGTGATACGTGTCACGTGGTTCTGCGATTTTGCAAATTCCCGCGCGGCCTTGACGACCGTCGAAACGCGGCGATAGTAGATAATCGTTTGTTGATTCTTTCAACTAGCCTTCCACCAAGCCGGCTTTACAAGCAACGTACACAAAAAGAAGAAGAAAAAAAGAAGATAACAGTTCGATTTTCCAATACGGAAAGACGATTTCAAGGCGAGTGATATTTGAAACTGAGAAACAATCAAATGCGACGTGTATGTAGTAAATTTTCTAATGTCAGCGAATTTTTTTTCTAAATAACAATGGTGACTCAGAGTACAATGATCATACGATATATATCGATCAAATTTAAATCCAATCTGATATATGTGGCAAAAATTCAATAGCTATATCAAGATGTATAGTCTCACTGCGAGTATCGAGGCTCACTGATAAGCATATATTTTTAAATTTATTACAAACTCAATCATATAATTACGATAGTCGTGCCTCGTTAACAGTGTTAATAATTTGTCGAGAAGTTTCATTACAAACACGTACAAAAAATTGTTAGAATACTTTCACGAACAACACTGTATGTAAAGAAAGTGTTTCCAAGTATTCCTACAAAAAAAAAAAAAAAGACGGAAGTTTCTATAAACTTGTTTGAACACTTTGTCGTAGCAACTATATTTCAATGTTAAATGGTTATCTGCACGCACGATTCGGTTTCCTTTGTACACCATAAAAGTTGAAAACCTCATTCAGGACAGCGAGGAAGAAGCGCGTTCGCAGATGGTCCCCGGCCTTGCTCGCAAGCTTCCGAAGGAACATTTCGAGCTATTCACGATCTTTCAACTCTCTCCTTTTCTT